GTCTCTTGGAGGAGAGACGAAACGTTTCATTAGAGAAGAACCCGTCCAGAAGACCTATACAATTTTTTTCTGTTTTTTTTTTCTTTTTCAAACCACAAATATTGAGCCAAAACCTGGTGTGGTGGTAGCTGAGTCATTCTCAATACTCTGTGAGGATCTCTACTTTAAACTTCATAGTCAGCCTTCTGTTAGCAAAATATTATGAACTAGTGGACAGAATGACAACTCATAATATCACAGCTTCACATTATTTTGTAGGTTTGACCAAAAAAACAAACAAAAAAAAAACAAACCAGACCCCTTTCCTCATAAAAATTTAATAGCCTGTTTACAAACTGTTTCGTGAAAGGTGGCAGGCGATATGCGTTCCTTCGAGGAATGTAGGCCTTTTTTAAACCCATTGTTTATTTTCTCAGAAACGGTAAGCAACCTTCTTTCCAGGCAAAGTGACTTATTTCCCTTTAACGTCAGACACTCCCAAGGTCAAAGCCAGGCTCTGTTGCTCTGTCTCCAGGAAAGAGAACCTCCCACAGGGTCCTCCACAAGGAGCGAGACAACACGTAAATAATTCATTCACCAGGACAACTGCTGACTGGAAAGCTGTGGAAATGTTGGACAATGTGTGGTAACACCAACAAATCACACGGCTGTGACAGAACGTTATCAGAATAATGTGAAGATGAGTGTAGTCTCTGGCACAACATGAGAGACAACAAAGACTCCAGGTCATAAATGTAGCTGAGCTTCTCCTCAAAGCTCCTATTATCTGAATAAACAAGAGAGTCCTGGTTTGAGGTTCTTCAAATGCAATTTTCAGCACAAACTACTTGTTTCTTTAAGGTTTTGTTATAATTACATTTAGTTTTAGGAGTCAGTCTGACAGCAGAAAATTCCATGCTTTTACTGACCACTCTAAACTTCAATTTGGAAAAAAACAACTACCGTATAATTTACCAGCATGGTGATGATGCTGTTGTTGCAGTTCAGTCAGGTAAAGTACAACTTATGGACATATTTCAGTTTTAACATAATCTGTTGAAGTTGTATGATTTTTAAAGATTTTCCCACTGAATGTTTAACTTGCAGTKATGATGTCACTTGAGCCTATATGAGCTGTCTAAACTTTTCAAAAGGTTTTCAAATTCAGATAAATATTTGTTTTATTCCTCCCACAGTCTTTACAGTTTATACAGTACACAAACTCAGTGTGTCTCACTGCTGTCGGACGTCTGGTTTCTTCTCCAGATTCGTCCAGAACACACACATCCACACCCTCATTAAAGGGGACCTATTATGCAAAATTCACTTTTTTTTTAAAGGTTTTTTACTCAATTTTGGGTATGCACTTCTTAAAAAAACAGTCCTAGGACCAAAAAATGCAGGGGCATATTTACTGTAAGTAAGTGTATTTTTAATGTATATTAAAGACAAGTTTTATACTTCTGTCATTTTGTGATGTCACAAGCCGTACGACAACTCACCAGAACCTGCGTTCAGCCCCTTACCTAGCAACCCCCGGGTGAAGCTCCTCCTCCTCAGTATAAAAAGCCATCATGGTTGTTGTTGTTGTTGTTGTGTAATGCACAGCTCATTTCACAACAGGCCTCCAATAGGGCAATGGGTAGAGTGTTGGACCAGAGAGAGGGAGACCAGGGTTTGAGACAGGCACGGACACAATTTAATTATTTATTTTCATTCGTTATGAACACGTTTTCTCATTTACCTCTATTGTTCAGCTTATTAAAGCCTCGTTTAGCCTACTTGTTYGAGTTTCTGAGGTATTTTGACCGCTGCTGCTCCCTGCTCTGGTAACAGCATGCAGAGTGAGCGCAGAGCAGAGGAGGGTGAGAAAAAAAAAGAAAGAAGCTGCGACCACGACTCTGCCTCTGGGTCTGCCTCTGGGTCTCATATGGTTGAACAA